GCTTATTCAATGCTCTTTCTAACAATGCATAAATATCAATGCTTAAATACCTATAAAAATGAGTAAAAATCAATTAAACTCAATGATATTTACACGATAACGCAATAAATACACTATAACATAAACTATACCAAATATACACTAAAGTTGGGGTTTATTGACAAAAAGCAAATGATTAAGCCGATGAGTGCTAATTATTCACACACAAATTCACAACAGTTTAGCACTCATCAAACTCTCCCCAACTTAAAATATTATTTATCCTCAAACAAAGTCAAATAACCCAAAGAAGAAAGAATGATAAATCAAAGAATCATGAATCAATAGGTTTTGAAAACGGAAAACAAATGCAATGGTTCAAATGAAAAACAGTACACACAAAGTAAACATTTACCACTAAACTACGACTATAACATAAACACGAAACAAATGCTAAATACAAAAATTATGCCAAACATTCTAAAACAATACTAGTTCACAAATGAATCACACCTAGCAAACACAATCACTGGTAGATGAAAAACACACAAAAATAGAGTACTTTCACTCATCCAACAATCTTGCAAACAATAGACTAAATTATGCATTCATCCAAAAATTTACATTGAAAATATAAAAGCAAGAATCTCAAGGGCTTTTCAAGGTTGTAATGTGGCTTGGTTAACAAACAAGTGATAAGTCCTAAAGCTAATCGAAACAAAAACTTTCCTAAACCTAAGAGAGTAATTACTTCCACAAAGTTTCAAACGATAGAATTTCAATCAAACTTCTTCTTTATCACAAGTTTCACACCAACACACATCACTTATTAACACAATATTATTTCATACTCTCTTTTTTTCTTTTTCAAAGCTTTTCTATTTTTTTTCCTTTCTTTTTATATCATTTCTTTTTCACTTTTTTTTTCTTTTTCTTTTCAACCTCATAGCAATCAACCAATAAATACACAATCATTTTTCTCCCCAACTTAAATTCAACCAACATCTTAGTGAATACTCTCTACTTTCTAAGGCAAGGTAAAAATTCAAACCAAAACAATGGTTGAGGGTTCAAGAAAACAATGAATCAACATCCATGTAAAAAGGGGAACTAAATACTCATAGACAAGCATTTAGCAAATACAACATGGATATCGATAAAAAGATCAAAGGGGTTACTAATGATCACACACTCACAAGGTAAATTGACTATTTGGCTAGGTAGTTATGCTCAAAATGAAACAAAAACGCCTTGATTCTTTTCTTGCATTCATACAATCAACACAAAACAAAATATTAAGCATAATAAAATCCAGTTAAAATAAGAATTGTGGCCTCCAACATATGTGAACAATGGAAAGCTACCTCACAAAAAGGGTGGGAACTAAAGTGATTCATAAATGAACAAGTATACAAAAGAATGAATGGCAGAAAAATTGTAAAAAGTCTAAGTATCATGAATATGCTAAAGTATAGAAAGCGATAAACAAATACCTCAAATGTGTATAAAACTTTAACAAAATCATTACCATGTATTCGCAAGTCAAAACGATCAAACTTGACAAATCACTTCAATATTCTAAAAGTTACCGGACCAAAACTTGAGTCCAAACAACAAAAAAATAATTAGAAAAATAATACTCCTACAAAATTTAAATGTACAAACTTTACAATATTTACAACGAACAAAACTCCTCAAGCTAAACACGACAAGCTTTCGAAAAACACAAATTGACATGACAAAACAAATACAAATAACAATATGAAAACCCGGTGAAAATAAATTAACAAGTTAAAAAGTAAAGATTTGAAATTCAGAACATTTTCTTGTTTCAACTTGTTAAAACACAAATCACCACACACATAAACAAATACAAACAAACATCCTTGTTTTACGTCGTAAGCTCAACGCCTTTATTGTTCAAGCTAGTAACCTCCTCTCGCCATGTCATGGTATTGTCACACCGCGCAAACCTAAAGAAAATGTCCTAACAATCACACAACAAACGTTACGAAAACGAGACAATTCACAACAATACGTGAAAACACATATATGCACAAATATCATATACAAATTAATATACAATTTATATACAACATATACATTAATTACAAAACTCAAAAACAAAAGAATTATCGCAATACAAAATCAATAAAGCCAATCCCCGGCAATGGCGTCATTCTGTTGTTGTGGTATATAGCGGAAAGCAAAAAGTAAAGTATTATTTTTACTGGGTGATATAGGTTATATTGTATCGTGTTCACAAAGATTGGTTATTGAATTGTCGTTAGACAAATCTCTCTTTAATGAGTTTGGGGTTTGAATGGTATAGAAAAATATCAACAGAAAATAAATATAAATAAAAGTAAAAACTAAGGAAGAACTTATCAAGCCTGCATATAATCTACTCATCACAGACTTAAATCTATCGACCAGTTACATTCAACCAAACAATATTCATCAATGTCACTATGTATCACTCACAACCTAAGTCATTTCTAACCCAAATTGAGAGACCGACTGTATCACCAAAGAAATGATATCTCTACCTCCTCAACAACATAGAAGACAACTATGTAATCGCATTGAAGCTCTCTCAGCACATCACAACCACACAGAGGCATTAAACTCTTATACCCAAGTAGATGTCAGCTCTAAATCTATCTCTAGAGTTCAGAAACTGACAGATAATCATCCTAGATGAGAAGCTAAGCAGTATATGTCTATAACAACTCAAATCCCTAACACAGAGTAAAAATCCAAGACAACAATCCACAAAGATTTGTAAAGCAATTTAATATAATGCCACGGGCGATAAATATACATGAGTTCCAAGTAAATACATATATAAACTCAACACATAAAGAAGAATACACAAAGAAGAAGAGAAATGAACCACAAATATATCGATTTGTCGACGTCGATTCAAGAGAAATCCACCCCGGATCATCCGTATGCAAGCTTCAATGTTATTTTCTAAACTAATCTTATCAAAAAAAATGAAAGTTAATGAAGTTGGGATCAAAAATACTGAAAACCATCCCCCAAAAAATGTGTTTTTACCCCTAAATATGTATTTCTGACTGGTCTGCATCGCCTAGCGACCAAAAAGCATCGCCCGATGCTCAAAACTGTGTTTTTTCCACGCTTCTGGTCGCCCCAGTGTCGTCCGGCAACAGTTGACAGTAAGTTGAAAAAACAACACAATTTCAGCCATAAATTGAGAACCGTAACTTCGATTTGCGAACGGTTGAAAGCATTGGAAAGCTATTCAATTCTCTTTCTAACAATGCCTAAATATCAATGCTTGAATACTTACAAAAATGAGATAAAATCAATTAAACTCAATGATATTAACACGATAACGCAATAAATACACTATAACGTAAATTATACCGAATATACACTAAAGTTGAGGTTTATTGACAAAAAGCAAACGAATTAAGTCGGTGAGTGTTAATTATTCGCACACAAATTCATAACAATTTAGCACTCATCAGCTAATGACCTTGAGCGTATCATGTTCCTGCATAATAAAGTTCAAGTCAAAATTCATAATAAAATTCATAATAGAAATAAAAATGCAAAATTCATACCTTGTATGTCCTAGATATATCTAACAACATGGTTGGGATAAAGTGGCAGAAATGATAAATTAGATGATCCTCCTCCAAAAACCTGAGAGGCCGCAGGTGCAGGCTGATCTGGTGCAGCCTCAAGTGCCACTGGTGTAGCCTCAGGTGTTTGGGATGACTGAGGAATCGCCTCAGGTGGCGTCTGGGACTGAGGCTGTGATGATGCTTGGGCCTCAAATGTCGCTTGGGTACCGGATGTGGATCCCGCCTCAAATACGCTAAGTGAGAAAGTGCGTCTGCGGGAGGATGGGGTGACAAAGGATGAACATGAGAATCAGGCACACCGGAGGGTGAAGCTGTAGGTGGTGCATCCGGTACTGGTGGTGCGGAGGCAGGAGGAGGCTGGGTAGCCTGACTTCTTTCTCTCTGCACAGAAGCATGTTGTGTAACCCTATCGTGCCTCAATTGTGACGGTCTCTCATCCATATCTCCTGCAGAAGTACGGAAAAAAATGTTAACATAAAGTCCAGTGTGCAAAGCAAGCCTTAAAATAGACACGGACATAAACCGGAAGTATACTTCCAGTTTTGTTCTAGAAAAAATTGGAAATTTAATTTTGGTTTTTGCAGCGATAACAGAGGCAACGAAAATGACGTCCCAGTCCCCTCAATAAGCTCATAAAAAGGGCATTGATCACGAAATTAACTTTAGAAACACATTTCTAATGACTCCTAATGTTAATAACAAGTTGCAATATCACAATTTAAACCTTAATTCACTAATTTGAGTAGAAATTACATAAACTCTAAAAATTTGAAAAACAACTTACTTGATTGGTGTTGATTTTGCTTGATTGATTGCGTTAGAATGTTATATTTAACCAATGTTTGATGATTTCTGATGATTTTTTGACCAAATATGTGAAGGATGTAATAAAGGTTTGAGAGAGTTTTGTGTTTTGTTTTGAAAATAGTTATTGTAATGGGAGGGGAAGAGACATGGTGCCATTTAGTGCGTCCAAGAATCGGAAATATACTTCTGGTTTGCACCAAACTCTTCCAACATAATTCATGTATAGCATGGTGCAAACCAGAAGTATACTTATGATTTTGAGGAACACTTGTAGAATTTCACGTAGTGCGTAAAAAGGTCATGAGATGAGTTAAGAAATTCACTAAAAAATTGTTTCTATTATCCAGTTAAAAATGTGCATATCTATATTTAGAATACAGTATTTGCATATCTAAATCTAGAATTTAAAAATATAAAATTACGTGGACTAACAAAAATATTTACAATATATAATTATTAAAATTTGGCTTAACTCAACCTTAGAAAACCATCTTGTAATATAAGAATTATTACTCTATATAAACTCTTTCAAGCCTCTTAGTCTAACTAATATGAGACTTGGGATTTTCCCAAATCATTGATAACTTAGAAAAATTATATTTCTTCACTCATCATATCAACACAATTTCGAACTTCAGTGATTTGAACAGATTGCAGTGACAACGTACTGTTTTCTTCCGTCAAACTCAAAGGAATTAAGTTTCCTGAATATAGGCTTTTTATGATCCAGCTAGAAGTCTGCAAAAGGAAGAGAAAAAAAAAACAATGCACTTCAGAAATAAACACAAAATCAAACTAAATCTAAAATGTGTAAATACTAGTTACCATAATAGGAATATCCCGCTCCAAAGCACAGGACTTCAGGTGACGTGATATTGTAGCCTTTTCTTCAACTACAATGGCTCCCATCAAAGTCCTTTCTTCATCGGTACTCCGAACTAACCATTGAAGAGTTTTGAACGCCCGTCCACCTCCATGCTGCACAACATTAAGAAAAAAAGAAGAGGAGTTAGTACAGACTATATATACTATGTTAAAGAGATGTTGGTTTTAACAAAATACTAAAGAAAAAGAAAGGATGAAAAAAAAGTCTTACTTTGATGATACATGCAAATTTGGTGCAGAAGCTATGCTTCCCGTGAAGCATAATGCCTACTCTTTCAAAAATATGCTTTCGGTTTTTGTGATGAACTGCCTTTCCGATTCTGGTCCACTTCATGTCATCTCGAGTTGGTAGAATCATGTATCTAAGAAAAAGAAGCAGAATCATGAGGAAAAAAAATGGAAATGGGACTTGAAAATCTGCTTGGTGAGAAATATCATTAAAATATGAAATATAATGTTAATATTTCCATAGCTTAAAGAAACAAGGTATCAGATATTCTATGCATTAACAAAAACATATCGTTATAAATTTTAAGAAAGAAAATATCAACTTACTTTTCAGGTCGCAAAATAGTTCCAGATGCAAGACAATCAGTAAGCCAGTCAACTTTTAGTATTGAGGCACCAACAGCACAGCCATACAAGAATTTGGTGGTCTGCAGCTGAAGAAAACAACAGACACCATTGTAATTGAGTTAAAAATGCAATTCGTCTATGACAGAAACATAATATGAGACGTAGGGAGTACTTCATTTTCCTTTATCGAGACAAATTTTCTCAAATATTGTCCTTAACTAGCATAAGCTCATAAAGGAGGTATTGATCCTGAGAACAAACCTTTTTTTTACATAGAATAATAGGAAGCTGCAAGCAAGATAAGGTTGAACTTTTTTTGCCCTTTGAATTTGGTGGAGAGGGAATATCATAAAGAATCACCCCACCAGAACTTCTTATAAGTGCTTCCAGTTCCCTTTCCATCTGACTAGGTAATCCAGTGAGGAGGAACTCTCTACCTCGAAATATGAATTCATTCACTGCATCTCTGCAATAATTTGACACGGAATGTCGCATACGAGGTGCAGAAGTGGTCAATGACTTTGAAACCCGTTGTCTTTTTGCTCTAATAGATGAACCTACATTATTGCAGCCAAAATCAAGTAACTTCAACATGATGTAATTCCTAAAACTGAAAGACACGTTAAATGAACGGAACTAAATCCTTACATCTTTTATGAGAAGATTCCAACTTTGACAATTTCCTTCTCTGAGGAAGCTCTTCCACTTTATCTGAGAAACGTACTTGCTTTCTGACTCTAACATCCCCGTCAACAGATTTACTGCACTCAATCTGTACCTTACTAGAATTATTGTTCTGTTGATGCTGAACAACAGTCTCCGGTGCTACATATTGGTTTATATTTTGCTCTATACTGATATTATTTACAGAAGCTTTAGGGCCTAGCAAGCGGTGGCGTGTCCTATGGTTTAGAATAATAGGTGACCTCTTTTGTGTCAGTTCTGAAGCTTTTAACTCGTCAACCTTGTCGTCGGTTATTTCTATAATTGACTTTTGATCGATGAAATGTTGATGACTCACTTCATTTTTGTTTTCATCTGCGTGCTTGGATGCAGAGGGAGACTCTGAAACCCTTGTGTCCAAAGATGCAGCAGCAACATCACTTTGATTAGTTGAAAGCGGTGTCAAATGAAAATTTTGCTTAACATCTTGGTTTGGTGTAATCATGCTATAAGTCTTAAGACGAGTATGCTCGACCCTGGTTAACTTCTCAGACATCTGTTGTACCCCCTCTGTTGTAGTAATTGGAATATCTATCCCATCTTTTATAGACGTGATTTTCTCACCTCTACAGTCCAATGTAGTATTCCTTTGACAATTGTCTGCCTCAAAGTCAGAGACCAACGGGGCAAAATACTCGGTGTCATTTTCTTTGGCAGTAAGAGCTTTGTAATAGTCACGTTCTGAAGTTATGCTACATGGAACAACTGAACAGAGAGGATCAATCAATGATAGATTAGAACATCTGACCATATCTTGAGAATTCAATATGTCCTCATCAGGTTTGTTGTGTGAAACTTCACAGGGCATACTTAGTTGAGAACTAATGGCGCACTTGGGATCATGTTTCAGCACACATGAGCTCTCATCTGGAACAATATCTGCAGATTCTGAAAGAAAGCTTGTCTCTCTAAGACACTTGGGATCAGGTTTCAGCACAGTTAAGCGCTCATCTGGAACAATATCTGCAGAATCTGTAAGAGAGCTTGTCTCTCTGAGACACTTGGGATCATGTTTCACCACACGTGAGCGCTCAATTGGAACAATATCTGCATATTCTGTAAGAAAGCTTGTCTTCCTGAAAAGAAACTTAGGAATATGTTTTGCATCGTTCTGGTTCAATTTTGCATCGTTCTGGTTCAATTTTGCATTGTTCTGGTTCAATTTTGCATCGTTCTGGTTCAATGAAGACGAATCTAACTCCTTCCAAGAGGGAGACAGAAATTAAAACCAACCAAGAATATGAGCAGAGTATGAACATGCTGCAATCAATGATAGTAGAATATAGAGATGCAAGACAAAATAACTGTCTGAAAAGGGGATGCAAATTTATATAGAGATTAAACATAATCAGATGACTCAAGTGTAGGGACAATGTGTAGGAAGTGAAAAGGGAAAAATGGGCAGGCAGAGGCGGGAAAAAAATGATTTGATGGAAACTTTCGACCAACCATATTTAAAGTTCATCTATCATATATGAAAAATTAGAGTTTCTCCACAAACAAATAAGCAAATGATGACCAAGGCATTTTTTAAAATGGTCATTTACAGATGAAAACCATCAACAGCTTGAAAAACAGTTGGATTGTATTTGAAAAACAGTATACCAAAAGAAAGTGACAACCTTGGTGTGACTAAGAAAGGTAAAAGATGAAGGAAAAGAAGAAAATACCAACCTTACATGCCCAGCCCCCTAACCAGCGGCTTCTAAATTTTTCTGGAGCTAGGTAAGCTGCCCAGTTCTCATTTTTCTCATCTTCTGAATAATTTAACATCATAAACTACATAAGCTTTACTAACTAGGGAGAAGAAGGCAATAACATAACCAGGAAAGTACTTAAAACTCACTGAAATTTTCAGAAGTTTGAAAAGGTGTAGAGTTCAGACTATTTTGTGGCTTGATAGAAGTAAGATCAGCCATAGCAAAACCATCTGTCTGGAAAGTGGAAAACGGTGTAGCATCAATTACTTTAAGTCAAAGAAAAAAGAAGAAAAAAAACACTAATATTGGAGAGATGCTTGATACTGATCAGAAAGAACTGAATAAGAAAGATAATGAAAAATAATAATAATAAATAAATAAATAAAACAGAGAACACAAGGGTAAAAAACCAGTTACTCCATCTGTCTCAAACTACGTGTCCTATGAGTTTTACACACTTCTTAAGATAATGATTTATTATGTTGAATTCAATTAAAAAAATGAGTGTCATTTACTAAAAAAACCTTATTAATAGTAGGTAGTGGAGTAATTACATGAATTAAAATACAATAAATAAGGTTAAATTAATGGGGAAAAAATGTTGCATTGGTATTTCAAAGGGACAAAAATTTGAGACAAATAAAAATGACAAAGAGGACACCTATTGTGAGACGGGAGGTATATATACCTTCGCCTAAAATAATCAAAGCCTACGCTACATAAGTCTCTAATTCGGTAACTCTGAACATCAGCCATTGTTCTGATCATAAGTTGAATATCAACATCGCACAGCTGGGCTTGTGGATTTCACACCTCAAGCCCAAAGGAATATTTCATGGGTCGGAGTGAAATGTATAAAAGAATAAGATCGTTCATATACATTCCTTTACTTAACAGGCAACGGCCTAAGCTTTAAAGATAGCTGCTTCTCTAGACAGGTGGAACGGAAAGGGTGAGGTGAAGAAGTAACTGACCTTGTTAAGGGATAAATCATTGGTCTTATCGTCTTTGTATTGATGAGGTGTAGGAAGATCATTCACAAAACGCTTTGGAGTATTAGCACCCAAATCAGAATCATCATCAGAATCCATCACCGTCTCAGCACAAAAAGAATGTGGAGGTGAGTCTGGATTTTGCTGCACTTCCATCTCCATGTTGACTTGTAATTTCTTTTGCTCGGATTTATAATCAAATTTAGCAAGCTTAGATGTAAGCACTATATCATCGTGTATATCATTGCCTTCATTATAATTTTCATCACCAGACACACCTTTTTCATGAAACGTAGCTGAATTGGAAAGATTTTCTTCAAAGGAAACACCAATAGATAAGCCTATATCTTCATAGGCATCTTCCATGATGAAATCATTTAAATCGGAGAGGGAATCACTACAGTCAGATTCTATGCTTGATGAAAGGAAGCCATCTTCTAACCCCTCAAGACGTGCTTGCTTCACGTGTAGTGCAATTTCAAGTACAGCTTCTGTACTCAATGTTTTTGATACTGACTCCATCTTTACTAAATCATGTATGACCAATGCCTCAGATGCTGCAATAGACAGTTCAACTGCATCACTGATATCATCACTTCTGAAATATTCGACCTTGGATTTTTCTCTCTGTTGTCTAACAGAACCAACTGTATCAACAAGAGATTTTAAAGAATCTTTTTTTGTTGTGTCAGGAATGAATGAAGCCAATGCATCTTGTTCACAGGCACGGCTGCCCATCATGGAATGCACATTTTCTCTAAAATCTAAGGAAGTTTGAGCAGGTTGCAATGACAAAGCTTTACTTGGTGCAAGCACGTGATGAGATTGATTCAAATCTTGGGTTGGGTAAAAGAGTGAATCGACATCTGAAGAAAGATGCAGATTAAACTGGAATACCTGCTTCAACGAAATATAAATAGGTCAAGCAAATCCATGTTCATGAAACTGTATCAATGTACAAGTAAATTACTAGGTTTTGGGAAAGAAAATATATAATTACAATTCACAAGGATAGACTTTGGCAGATATGTGTGCTAGTGTAGGTCATTGGGCATAGAAACACCTAAAATAGAGAAATTGAGAAAAAAAAACACGGAGTAATCTTCTAAACTTAGTTGGTCCGTTTCTTCATAGTTTCAAGTTCATAACCATAATACAAGTGATCAGAGCATATACAACAATTTGTCAAGTAATCAGTTAGCTTTTAGAAAATATTTTAAAACTAAAATAATATGCTTCAGTAAATATTAACATGGGAGGATAAACGGACCGCAGTAGATAAATTTTGCTAACCAATTAAATTATTTAGTGAATCTTATGTAACTGATCCATGCATTGATATGACACAGTTACACATTCTTGTATGTTTGAAAATGATTCTATTTAATATCAGTATTTTAATTTGATATGGTGAAAGAAATGAAAAACTGAAGAGAGAAAAATAAATAAAACTTACATTTCCAGGAGATGGAGCAACACTAAGAGATGAGGTATCGCCTCCAGACAAGAATAAATGACAACTCCTGTATCCACCTTCTTCCCTTGATAATACATTAAGGCCGTTGACATCAATGCCATTTTCTAGAGAATGTGTCAAATCCTTGTTGGTTTCAAAGAAGATAAGGTATCAGCAAAAAATGTAACTAATTAAACAACCCCATGGGACTATCAGAAACGTATCTAATTGAACTAATACAAACATGACATGGTTTTAAATATTAAGCAGAAAAGGTAGTAATGTACTATTTGCAATCCATTGGCATGAAAGTACTATATCCATGTAAAGAGTGCTTACATAGAATAATAAGAATTTAAAAATATGAAAGCAAACACCAACACTATAAACAAAAACAAAACAAAAAAAAGTTTTAAAATAAAAACATTTCAGAGCAACATGTAGCACAGAAGAAAACGCTGTCCCATTTTCTTCTCCGCCTAGCAACCCTGTCCCGTTTCCTTCTTCGACATAGTTAAAAAACAAAACACTAACGAAATAAACTTGGAAAGCGAAAATTCCAACCTTCTCTGCTTGGATGGAAAGAGTTTGAGACTCCTTTGCATATTCATTAAACCCGTCTGCTCTAAGATTCTGAAGCCAACTTGGTACCCAAGCTACATCCTGTAACCATATGTTCACGGGTCACGTAGCCCTCCAACATTAAAAACAAACTAAATTGGTGATAGTAATCATGTAAGGAATGCTCTTATGACAGGAATAATTCTTAACTCTCGAACATAAATGAATGCCCGAGATTAGATTTAAGTAAAGATAATTATGATCATCTAAATAGGATCAAGATTAAGAGGCAGTATGGATAAACGTCTCAATAATTAACTTATACAACAAAAACAACAACCAAATCTTATCCCACTAACTTTTGCCATAATGTTTTATCCAAGACCATGATTCTATCCAAATCGTTAATTTCGAGATCTCTTTTAATAATTTCTATTATAGCCTTTCTAGGTCTTCCTCTAGTTGTTTGACTTCTCTCCATCTGATTTATTTTCCTTACCACGGAATCTACAGGTCTTATCTCTACTTGCCCAAATCACCGGAGTATATTTTCCACCATTTGCAGCCACAATTATAGTTGTTCCTAGGATTCCAAATTGCAATTGAAATTGAAATCCATTCACAATATTTAAAAATATAAACCGCAGGAAATAGAAAAGTTTTAATCTCTCCGTGTAATCGGAAAAATACCTAATTCCTACATTAGATCGAAACTCAGAAAGGGTGAAACTATAGAAGTATAATCGCAATGATCCTGTATAGATAAATGCGTTATGGAGAGAAATAATGGAAGGAGGAAAAAGAAGAAACGTTACCTCGGAGAAGTTGGGAGGACGAAGAGTTTGAGTTTGGGTGGCCATGAAATCGAATCGGAGAATCTTTTACAAGTTAAGGGGTTTCGCTCGGAAGGAAGCATCAGTATCCAACGGGAACTATTTGGCGCCAAATTATATCACACGCCACGCGCCCATTTAGGTTTATATATGTTACCCTAAATTCGGAAAATAAACATTTGAAATTAAAAATATAATTAAAAGTAATTTTCATCTCGTTCTTCGTTATAAATATTCGTTACATATCTCTCATTTATAAATAAAATAAAATTAGTACAGTGAATATTACTCCATTATAAATAATTTTCATCAAAGTAACAAATCTCTCCTATCAATTTTTTGGCTGTTTATTTATTAGATTGAGTGTCCACGGCATTTATTTTTTATATCATTGGTCTTTCTACGAAAAATATGGAGATGACGTATTCCTACCCATCACGATATGAGAGATAATTCAAAAGGAGGTAGTCACGTTTTCTCAAAAATAGAAAAGTATTTTTTTTCTTCACATTTTTGAGCGTACGTATTCCTCTTGTGGAGTCTAAGATTCAGATTTAAAGGATATCTATAAACACCTCAACCTTAAGTTTGATATGGGACATTCAATCTCACTTGAAAACACCAATATGCATAACATCTCATCTTCTTGTGTGAACTACCTCTAATAGAATAGTAATTTTAAAAACCTCTTATAGCCCCATATCACAAGGAATTTATATGAATTGTACTTTTAACAAGTACAATCGGCATCCACTTGGGTCACTATTATAACATTCGGCTAGATTGTTATCATTGCGTCTGACTCATTTGTCCATCATGGTACACAAAAAGATATAATTTTTTGTTGGACGTGTGACTTCAAACACAAGAGAGAGTGAATTGTGTGTTTTAGAGAAACTTGTATTTGAAAAACTTTTACGCTTAAAATCAAAGTTTAAAAAAACTTTATAAAAGTTTTTAAGTGCACTGGAAAGTAAAATGAGGAAGATAAAATGCAGGAATATAAAAAGTTAAGGAAAGTGAGAATACATTAGAAATTATAGAGGTTCAGTCAAAAGAGAAAAAGATCTAATCCTCTTTCCAAGAATTGTTCTTGAAAGTATTCAATAAACTTGATAGCTTTTAGTGGGTATAAGTCACGACCCTCTTATACAATAAAAATGAAATTTATGGCTAGCTTCCAACCGAATAATAAATTGAGGATTGAGGCAGTGAGTATTCCTTTTAAACAATGGATATAAGCGGTTAGTTCTCTTTCCACATGAATCTTGGAGCGATTAGTTTTCAAACTTCTAAATAAACCTTGGAAGCTTTTAACACCAAGATGAACTCTCGAACTTAAACCTTGGTTTTATACATGGATAACCAATAACCTATGAGATTTTACCACCGAGTTGATCTTAAAATGAAATAAGCTTTTAACACCAGGCTAAGTTTTAACCTAAACTTAGTTTTATCACAGGCTAACCAAGAACCTGTGTTATTTTACAATGGGGCGATCTCGAACCTAAACAAATTGATCACGTAAATATCAAACCTAAGGTTTTTATTGGTTTAAATTTGAACCTAAACAAATAATCTCTAAGTGGATAAAATATTCAATCAAGATATAAACAAAACTTTCTTAGTGAACTTATAAAACTACCTTTCCAGAATTATACTTGCATCGCTCGCAAAAGAACTTTCTCGAAAAACACTTCGACTAAACTTTTAGTGTGAGAAAGTAAACAAAAAGATTTTTAGAGAGAGAGGTGAGAAGTGAAAAGCACGTTTCTGGATGTGAAAAGGAGTAGAAGGGGGCCTCTATTTATAGCCTAGAGGTTGGAACAAAAAAGGAAATGATTTTAAGGCTTTTTAAGACTTGTCAATCGGTTGGTACATATTGCGAATTAATTGGTTAACCTAAGTTACTGGATTATCAACCTCAAAAAGGAAAGATATTTAGATATTGCACGTCATTAAGAAGATGTCATAATCGCTTAGGGCACAGTTTTGAATAATTCTAATTGATTAGAGTAGTGTCAATCAATTGGTCAGAGACAAAAATTCCCTAAAGTTATTCTGACAACTCCTAAGTCATCTAGCATGGCTTCAATACATTTTTGAAAAGGTTTTACTTGATAAATAAAGTTTGAAAACAATTTTGTGTGTGTGGTTTAGTCATGTACTTTTACGAGAATGCCCTTATGCTTTACAATATATTCACTCAGACGTGTCGAGGTTGAATTTCACAACTTCCATGTACTTTAAGACTTGTCAGATGTTACTTTTCTTATAGACACATTATTGAGTTTACTTGAGACGAGGCTTGAGTTATATTCTATTTGGTCACCTAAAAGTAGCATGAAAAACAAGGTTCCACATTCTCCTATTCTTTTATGATGACAACACAACTCTCAAGGGAGGTGTTAAAATAAATAACACATATGTGTTTGGAGTAATTAAACTTCCCATCAATTAAATAGATAATATACTCTACTCCTCTGAGAGTATACTTCCCCCATTTCAAAATTAAAAATTCGAGTAAAGATGCATTGTCGAATTTTAAATATGCAGACATGGGCAAATAAGACATATAGAAAAAGTGAAAAACATCACTCTTTATTAAAAGAGATAGGAATTCAAATTACAAAAAGGAAGTTTGTAGAATTAAAAATATTGAATTTAAAATATTGCATAAAATCAATCACACTTAGGTAACTATGTGAGAGTATTTGTTATCAAAATCATCATATACCAGATTGTCATACTCCAAATTTTCCCGTATAGGTATAGACAGTCAATCTCATCTTTGTTAGAACTGTTGGTTTATTTTTTACTATTTTTTGTGTTTAATACTAATTTTTACATTGACATCTCAATTATATTTTTTTAAAATTTGTTTAAGTATAATAGGGTTTGATTTTTGGGGAGGGGTGTGTTTATCATTTGTATCAAAAGGGATCATTATTGTAATTTGAATTCAATAGCCCATTAAGATTTTTATTGCCCATGCCAGGTTTAAATTAAATTAATGGATTTATAATCTTATAATTAGTTTTTGATGAGGGTTGACCAAAGTCAACATCCTTTTCTAATTATTTGTTTGGCTTTTATGCATATATTTATATTTGTTTGGTTTATTTTGGTTGATTGAGGTCAACGTGCGTGTGAAGTAATTTTCCTTCATTATTAATATTTATTTGTTATTTATTATTAATGTTTATTATGAGATAATGTTGACTAAGATCAACTAGGGTTTTCTGAACCCTTAGTGCAAGTCGCGACCAAACTTGGGTACCTTTAACCCTAAGAACACCAAAAAGCCGAGAAGTCCATAAGTGAATCAAATCAAATCACAAATTGGATTTGTATTGATATTTAACGAATTTATACACAGATACAATCCAAGTACATACATATTACACAAATCCTAATTGTTAATTTTAAACTAAATTTAAATCAAATCTTTGATTTACTACTAATTGAATCAATTCAAATTGTAACTGCAAATCAACTAAACTATTTTCCTAATTAGGATAATTCCTAATACTATATAAACCTAATTTCTAAGACTAAGAAGGAACGGAAAAATATTGGAGAGAAAACCCATGTTGTTGTTGTTGTGCGTCCCTCACCCTCACCAAAGCTCAATATTTTGAATATTTAGGGTTTCACACTGAAACCCTAATCCTTTGAGCTTGGCCTTATCCTCGTACCTACAAACAGAAAGAAGAAGCGAGAGATCACAAGAAGGATTCAGGAAATCAAAACTATACGACCAGTGTCACGACATGAGAGGTAATTCGAATCACTTAGCTTTAGGGCTCTTAATTGTTGTTGTGATGTTTGCATGATTGGTGTTGGGTTGTTACGCTTCTAGAAATTTTGTGGTTTTTGAGTTTTTTTAGGGTCAGGGTTCATCACATAGGGTTAGGGCTCATCCTAATTAGGGTTAGGGTTCTTCATATATTTTTAGGGTTATAAGGGTTTAGGTTAGGGTTCTAAGAGTTTGGATGTGAGTCTAGAAGTATGATGATGATCCCGACGATCATTCATCACTCACGGTGGCCTCAACGGCCACCCATGGTGGAAATGGGTTAGGGTTCTAAGATCTGGGTTAAAGGTATAAAGAATTTGGTTGAGTGTCAACTGGAATTCTGGATTGGATGGTGGTTTATGGTTGAAGAAGGTTGAACCACCGGCGGAGGCGATTTCCGGTCGGTGGGGCAATTTATGATCTCTTGAGTTTTTAGAGAGAGGTCAAAGCCTTTCTCTCTAGAAGTTTGTATAGTGAGAGAGAGGGACAGGGTTAGAGAGATAAAGAATAAGGAAAAATGTAAAATCATGAAATAAAATTAATATATAGCTTCTCTGTTCGTACCGTACACGTGTGTTACTGTAATACGGTGGGAGAACTGACTTGGTTGTTTTGCATTTTTATTGCAAATGTTGCAGATAGCAAGAGTCGCCGCCGACTTTTCTTTTATCCAATAAAGGAAAGGGTGAAAAGAACAGGAAAAACATTTTGAGAATTTTCTTGAGTTCGGGGGTAGGTTATGAAAAGGGAAGGTGTTAGCACCCTTTTCATCCGTAATTATCTACGGGCTCTTAATTGCTTGATCACTTTGAAATGCTTCATGTTTTGTGTAAGTTTGAAAATGTTTGAAGATGTTTCAAAAGTGGTGATTTTGTAATGATTCTCGTATCATTGAGAATGTATACAAAATGTTTGATTTGGAAATATTTTGAAAACGCCTTAGTACGACAAACTTTGTAATGATTCTCGTATCATTGAGAACCTATATAAAGTGTTTATTTTTTGAAAATATTTGTTTGAAAAGAGAGTGTTTGAAAAGATGTTTTTTTTTAAAGTGTGGGGTGTGAAAATGGTTTTAGTTTGTGAGAAAACAATTACGAGCAATCTACCTACTCAAAGAGTCTTTGTTCTTTTCCTCCTCCTTTAGATAGTGTTATTTTACCATTGATTGGTAAGGAGCCATATCTTTGGATGTGAGGGACGGGCGTGGGTCATCATACAGTCATAG